TGCTGCTGTGACATACTCTCATCACTTCCCCAGACCCTTATCACTTTAATCACACCATCTCATTATAGACTCTCTCCACTCCTATTCCTATCACTAATTTCCTCTTGTCCATTAAGCTCTCAAAACATGGTTATAAGTGTACTTACTAATCACAAGGATTAGGAGAATGTCTGTGAAGGTAATTAACACTCAAGAGTAATTGTATTGTATTCTCCTGCAAATTAAGTGAAGAGCCATTTCCCCTTCAGAGACAATCAGTGCATAGAAGAAGCAGCAGTTCTGAAGGTATGACTCACTAAAAAGTGAGTCCTTTTTGTTATAGTGTCTCATAATTTCATGTACTTTTTGTTTAGGAGTAGGATAATCTGTCATGGTATGATTCACAGACAGCACTATAATCTCTGTTTTACTGAGAAGCAGTAAAATAGCCTTGTATAAAAATTAGTCTTGACCAGATTCATAACTCAATGATGTAGGAATTACTTTAAGAGTAACCTTATATAAAAGACACCAACAGAAGCTGCTAGGTTTTGTTTTAGGCAGACGCCATAAAGAGATGAATCCACATAATTATGTTCAAAGCAGTGGAACCACTCTGTAATCTGTTAAAGTTAACCTGCTCAGTGAGCCAGGATTTTTTTTTTTTAGAATTTTCTTTAGTAAAGAAAACAATTAGCTTTTATCTCAGATCAATTTCATGTAAATTTGGTCCACTTTCTGGCCAAGATTTTCATAGGCTGAATACCCATTAAAGAAGTTACTTAAAATCAATCTACAACTAACTGTTGGCTATTCCTAGTAAGTCAGACTGAAATTCTAAAAGCTCTAGATTATGCCTAGTGGCATTTTACTCTAGATATATATCATATTCAGATAAATGGCTCTTTGATCTCCGAAGTTGGATTCAAAATGACTTGAAACCAAATCTTTGGGATAAGAGTGGCAGTAGTGCTTTAGCACACAGACATCATTATGCCATTTCAGCCTAAGGTATTATACAATTGATGTACAAATTGGCAAAAGTACTCAATCTTCCATAAGACTGGAAGATTTAAATCTATAGCAAATGCCATATTCATTTTGTAGAATAGATGCAATATCAGTACTTAAGAGCCATGCTTAAACATCAGATGGCAAGATAAGATTGCTAAAAATGAGTTCCTGGAAAGATGTGATCTCTCCCTTCTCTGAATTTCCATAATCCTTGTTTGCTTATTTTTTTTTATATTACCCCCCCACCTGCCATTATGAAAGCTATATGATGGCATTTTTATTTAAATGACTACCGTGCCTTGATATTTATTATTGTTGAAATTCCTCACAGTAATTCAGCTTGTAACCCATACATAATTGCCAATACCTTTTAACTCTTGTCCAAGTGTCCCCTTAATTTCACCATAAGAAGTAACCTTATTGTGTGAGAGGCCTTCCCTACTCTCCTGATATCATGAGAATATCAATGAATCACCCTAGCTATCCGTCATTCTCACATGACTAACTCATCTTCTATTTTGCTCATGTGTCTTCTTAATGACATCTTTGAAGCTGGTTCTAGTTCATGGTAGCTGGCATTTGTTTGACAACCCCGGCCTGAGTGTCTTCAACCTAATTGTAGTAAAATTATTGTACTATTGTCTTCTGAGGAAAACTATCCAAAGCCTCATGGATGTTTTTGCTATTCAGGTAACCCAGGGCAGGTTGCAAAAGGGAGCAGCTGGCTCAGAAATCCTTAGGGTGAGAAGTAGGATATGAAGATAATGCAAGGAATCTCCATAAGTGAGCATTTCAAGTGAAGGATGACTTTAGCTGTTCTATAGTCAAAGTCAGGGCCTGTGTGTGTTTGGAGAGGGAAAAAAAGGACTTGTGTGATTAGACTTTAGATGGCATCCAGGAAAGCTGTCAACATTGATCATCATAAAATGGGAAGAGAAAAAAAAAAGCAAAAACAAAAGCATGAGCTTTATGAAATAATGCCAATTATAATTAGCTGTATTAACTTCTTACTTAATTACTACTATATGTAAGTGTATTACTACTGTAATATAGTAAAGTTTATGTAAATCATTACATGTGTCAAAGTATATATTTTCTTGGATTACAATGCTGAATTCCCATATGCTCAGCTTTCAAAGTTTGTGTAGCATGCATGCCAGTGTAAATAACTTTTTTGAATTGGAAGGAACATTGTTAACAATAATGATCCGTAATTGAACACCATTTTACAGATTCATTTCTCTCCTAGGTCATTAATGACCTTCTTATTCTAAATCCCATGTCTTTTTTATATCCTCATAGTCTTAGTCCACTTCACTGTCATTTACATTAGACCACTCCCTTCTTCTTGAGACCCTCTCCTTTTTAAGCTTCTGTGAAGCCTCTTTACTTCTAATCCTGTAGTTTAAATTATCACCTCTGAGAAGATAAATTCCCAAGTTCATATCTCCACTCCCAACCTCTTCCTATAGCTTCAGGCTCTTATTTCAGACAGCATACTAGTCTAAAGTATAGCCATTGTACTTCATAGTAAACATGCCTAAAAATGAACTCATCATCTTTTCCCTCAACATGCCCCTTTCCCATCTTCTCTATTTCTTTTTTTCTTTGGGAGTGAGGGAGGGAGGCAGTTGGGGTTAAGTGACTTGCCCCAAGCCACACAGCTAGTAAGTGCTACCTGTCTGAGGTTGCATTTGAGCTCAGGTCCTCCTGACTCTAGGGCAGGTGCTCTATACACTGCACCTCCTAGCTGACCCTCCCTATTTCTCTTAATGTACAACTATCCATAGGCCACCCAGGCTTTTAACCTTGGGATCTTCTATCTTTCATTCTTATTCACTGCCCTCATCCAATCCTTTGCCACCTTCTGATTGTTTCTGCTTCCACAGTAGCTCCCCACTCTGACTCTTTTTCTCCATTCACATTACAACCATGGTAGTTCAGGCCCTCATCTCTTTCTTAGTAATTGTAAGAGTCTTCTACAAACTTCTGTGCCTCTGGTCTTTCCAGTGCATCTAACACAGTTGTTCAGGGTCATAACACAGCACTGTGATTGTACCATTCCTGTATTCAAAAAAAAAACCTTTAGTGATTCTCCATTGAGTACCAAATAAAGTATAAACTTCCGATCCTTGCATTCAAAACTCTCCACAGCCTGTCTCCTGCTTGTGCAGCCTGATCTCATACTGTCTTCCTTAACTCACTCAGTCTTCCTGCCACTCTAAATTATTCTTTCTCCCTTTTTCATCCTTGAATAGAGATCTTTATTGTACTTGTCTCTCCAGTGTCTAACATAGTACCTGGCACTGAGGCTTAATAAATGCTTATTGATAAATTGATTGATTCGTCTTGGCCCCTCCAGTTTCCATATATTTGACTACTTTATCTCTTTTGCCCAGAATTAATTCTTCTTCCTTTTTCTTCTGTTGATGTCTTCATCTCTCTTAAGACTAGATTCCTACATCATCCCTTCTGTGAAACCTTCTCTGACTTCTCAGATTAAAGTTTTCTGTTCCTCCTCAAGTTTCTCATGGCATTTTTCCTGGACTACTTTACATTTCTCTCACTAAATCTCCCTCATTCCTCTCCTGCATTAAATTGTGAGTTCCTTTGAGGCAGGAATGCCTTTATGTTAGAATTATCTGTATATTTTTAATGCCTAAACATTAGGTGGATTGAGTTAAATTAAATTGAATCTTTATATTTTATTACAAAATAATGGGGTAAAGAATCTTTTTTTCTTTTTGTAATAACAGGCCATTAACACTTGAAAACACACACACACACACACACACACACTCATACACTAATAAAAATCAGTCATCGTTGAAAATTACTCCTTAGATCTCACCCTAATGCAAATATTTCCTTAATACCTGCTCCATAGAGTCAACACAGATGAATCCAGTAAATAAGCTGTGAATCCAAACCATTGTTAACTTTCTGTTTTCTAAACATCCTAGTGTCAAGAATGAACCAAAGACTCTTTGACATACAAAGAATGTTGATGCCTCAGGCAAAAATGGGATAGATGGGAAGGAAGGATCTGATTTTACTAGTTAGTATGCTTACTTCAAAATGAAAAGAATACCAGGAACCTCACATAAAAAAAAAACAACTTTTTTTAGTGAAAATGTGAAGTGGTCAGTATTGTAGTATGTGTACACACACACACACACACACACACACACACGCACACACACGTGCGCACACACACACACACACACTTTCAGGTTTCCTCTCTTCCACTCAAGCAAATCATAACATTAATGCAAGCTTCAACCTTATGATAACATTCAGGAGACCACTAACACTGGAATGGGACTCACCTTAACTAGAAGTGGCTGACAGTGGATTGCCTTAAATTGATTGACAGTGGTTTAAAGCTATTCAAACAGTATACCTCAAGTTACAATAACTAGGCTATGTAATGTATTATGTGTTGCTTCAGCTATAGCCTTGAAGTCTCCCTAAAACAGGGTTTCTTAACCTTCTTTGTGTCATGTACCTCCTTTGCAATCCAGTGAAGCCTACAGATCCCTTCTCTGAATGTTTTTAAAAGTATAAAATAAGATACTTGAGATTGCAAAGGAAATCAATTATATTGAAATGCAGCTATGAAAAAAAAATTTAAACAAGTTTCAGAGATCCTAGGTTAAGAACCTCTGCCCTACAGTCTGTAACCTCTTAGGAATGAGGGATAGGGACACCATTCTCAACTAGACTGTATACTGGGGAATATGTTTCAAACCCTCAGGCATTTTTTTCTATTTATTGTATTATTTATCTACTTTAAAAGGTTATTTTTGTCTTTTCAGAATATTTCAAAAGTAATTTTAGATCCCCATTTGAAAATATTGATTGAGAAAGGTTGGAGCCCAGAAACTTTGAAGGCACTCCCAGTTCTACCCCTCTCTGATTTTTTTATTCTAAATAACAAAATGTAATCTCAATAACTGGCTAATTACTGTTTGAATATTATTCAAAGGAAATAAATTCTGTTGCAGGAACAGCATCTGTTGCAGTTGCAGGTCTCCTTGCAGCTCTTCGCATTACTCAGAACAGCCTGTCTGATCACACAATTCTATTCCAAGGAGCTGGAGAGGTACTTTAGCACAGTTTTATATAGTTTTAATTATTAATAATATGTCTGAGGTATTTTGACAGATTGATAGCACATTTTGCTATGTCCTTCCTCAAGGACGCTCAAGGTAAGTGACGTTCCTACTTATTTTCACAAGAAAAACATGATTGCTCCATTTGAATTTCATTCATAGACACTGATGAAAAAAAGTTTCTACTCCTTGAATATGTATGGAGGAGGCCTTTAATAAAACATGTAATTAAAATATTAAATCATCTAACAAGCAGTTTTCTCAAAATAACTTTAAAATTCTAAAGAAAAAGAGGACTATTGGATTTCCCAGTGTATTCTCAATGTTTATATGCAAAACATCCTAAATTGTTGGCAGTACCTGGCCATTAAGTCAGAGTTATTCACTGTTTTGTTATCTTTTTATGTATTTTAATCATCTAAGAAAGGAAAAACTAGATTGTAATAGCAGTTCATCGCCAGAAACAGAATTAAAATGTCAACTGAATTTGAACTTCTTGTAGGCAAATTGCCCAGATATGTTTAGAATTATCAAATATAAAACCAGTATGGGAATGGAGAAATGCTTTGTGGCTTGGTTTTAGGGGTTTTTTTTGAAAAGCTTGTAATTCCAAGTCTAATATGATTTTGAGTGAAAAAAGATTTTTTTGGATAGAAAAGTGAATGTGTTATATGGGTATTTAAAGCTATGTTTTTGCCTCTGTGGAGCTTTTTAAGGAGACTATCATTTAAAAAAAGAAACTTTTATGGATGCTTGAAGCTAGAATTTTTAATGGGAAATATTAATAACTGACATACAGAATGCAAAAACTAAGATATGCATTGGTTTACTTTGGGGAAGTCATCAATTTATTGCATATTAATTTTGTAGCACAAGAAAAGTCAGTGCTGAAATGACTCTTTGCTGAGGTTTAAATTCTTTACCACATCTTGGATAAATGTTTATGTACAACATTTCAGTTTGGAAATTCTATTCTCTGAATTTCTAAAGAGTTCTGGTAAATGGAAGAGGTCAATTTGGGATAGTCTGAAACCACCACAGAATGGTTTATAGTTGAAAGATTTAAAAAATAGGAATATTCTTTAATTTTGAGATTTTTTAAAAAAAAATTCATTGGTTTTATGACATTTCATAGAATTTATTAAATAGAAAAGTTTGGTTCTTTTATTGAAAATCACATCCTAAACTTATCCAAATTAAGAAAGCAGATTAATGTTTAGAAGCATAAACTTTTAAGGACACAGAACTTTTATCAGTGAGCTTCTTTCATGATATGCAGTAACGTGGCCATAACCCACTTCTAACTATCTTTACCCACTTCAGGGATTCTAACCTTAATTTATAGGCCATGTAATTTCATGGTCTTGGTAGTACTATGCAAGATTTTATTAGCTTTAGCTGAACATTTCCTCCCTCCCTCCCTCTGTTCCTTCCTTCCTTCCTTCTTTCCGCAATTGGGGTTCAGTGACTTGCCCAGCATCACACAGCTAGTAAGTGTTATGTGTCTGAGTCTGGATTTTAACTCAGTTCCTCCTGACTCCAGGGCTGGTGCTGTGTCCACTGTGGCACCTAGCAATCCAGTCTTGATTACATTGTCAGAAAACACTATGCTCAGTAAAAGTAGTGAGTTACTGTTACATTTTGTTTTGTAGGGCTAAAACACTGTTAGTAGACATAATATTAATTGGATAAAGAGAAAGACCAAATACTACTCTTTTTAGATTATTCAATATGGAAAAATTACTTTTCACCCAAAAAGTATAGTAGCTTATCAGTTAAATCCTTTTCTGTGTATTTTTAATTATCAAGACAGAATAACCTAAATTATAAGTTTCAGCAAAATTCTGTCAGATAAAAGCTTTAAAAATCTTTTGTTTTTATAGTCTCTCTTTATTATAACTCTTCCTTAGGCTGCCCTGGGGATTGCAAACCTTATTATTATGGCCTTGGAAAAAGAAGGGATATCCAAGGAGAAAGCCATTGAAAGGATATGGTTGGTTGACTCAAAAGGATTAATAGTTAAGGTAAGTCTTTGTTTCTGTTAACCATAATAGACATTTATTTACCAAGTTGGTTAATCTTTAAAAAAAAAACTATTTTTTCTCTGCATTTATGCAAAACATATTTCTAGTCATGTTATGAAAGAAAATGCAGAAAGGAAAACAAAGTTTTAAGAAGTATTCTTCTATCTGCATTCAGACTACATCATTTTTTTTCTCTGGAGATGGGGATAGCATTTTTTCATCATAAATCCTTCAGAATTGTCTTAGATCATTGTATTGCTGAGAATAACTAAGTCATTCACAGTTGATCATTGTGCAGTATTACTGTTAGTGTGTACAATATTCTCCTGGTTCTGCTCACTTCACTTTTCATCAGTTCATGTAAGTCTCTCCATGTTTTTTTGAAAACATCCTGCTCGTCATTTCATATAATAGCACAGTAGTATCCCATCGCAAACACATAACATAACTTGGTCATCCATTCTCCAGTTGATGGGCATACCCTCAATTTCCAGTTCTTTGCCACTACTAAGAGAGGTGCTATGAACATTTCTGTACATATAGGTCCTTTTCTTTTTATTTTTTAGCACTGTGGGATACAGACCTAGTAATGGTACTGATAGGTCAAAGGATATGCATGGTTTTATAGCCCTTTGGGCATAGTTCCACATTATTCTACTGAATGGTTGAATCAGTTCACAACTCCACCAACAATGCATCAATGTCTCAATTTCCTCATGTTCCTTCCAACATTTATCATTTTCCTTTTCTGTCATACTAGCCAATCTGAGAGGTAAGGGATGGTACTAATCAGTAGTGACATGACTATAGATAGCTTTGATTACTTTGTCTGAAAAATGCTCTATGATATTCCCAGGTGTTTTCATTTTGAGATCTCTTTCAAGAGTGATTGGTGGATTCTTTCAATTTCTATTTTATCCTCTGGTTCTAGAATATCAGGGCAGTTTTCCTTGATAACTGGAAAGATGATGTCTAGGTTCTTTTTTTGATCATTCAGGCAGCACAATAATTCTCAAATTATCTCTCCTGTATCTATTTTCTAGGTCAGTTATTTTTCCAGTGTGATATTTCACATTTTCTTTTTTTTCCCCCCATTCTTTTGATTTTGTTTTGTTGCTCCTTGGTGTCTCATGGAGTCGTTAGCTTCGCCTTTCCCAGTTCTAGTTTTTAAAGAATTTTTTCTTCAGTGAATTTTTGTGCGTCTTTTTCCATTTGGCTAATTTTGTTTTTTAAAGTGTTCCTCTCTTCATTGGATTTTTGTGCCTTTTACCATTTGGCCTATTCTGTTTTTTAATGTGTTATTTTCTTCAGTATTTTTTGTGCCTTCTGTACCAAACAGTTGTCTCTTTTTTTCATGATTTTCCTGTATCACTGTCATTTCTTTTCCTAATTTTTCTCAGCATCTTTCATTTGATTTTTAAAAATCTTTTTTGATCTCTTCCAGGAATCCTTTTTTGCATCTAGGTTCCATTCAAATTTCTCTACATCATTTTTTTCTCTGGAGATGGATAGCATTTTTTCATCATAAATCCTTTGGAATTGTCTTGGATCATTGTATTGCTGAGAATAACTAAGTCATTCACAGTTGATCATTGTACAGTATTGCTGTTAGTGTATACAATGTTCTCCTGGTTCTGCTCACTTCACTTTTTATCAGTTCATGTAAGTCTCTCCATGTTTTTTGAATTATAATAATAATTTTTCTCAGCATCTCTCATTTGATTTTTTAAAATCCTTTTTGACCTGTTCCAGGAATTCTTTTTGCACCTAAGACCCATTCACATTTCTCTTTGAGGCAGTTTTGACTTTGTTATTTTCTTCTGAATTTGTGTTTTGATCTTCCCTGTAACCTTAGTAACTTTCTATGGTCAGGATCTTTTTTTGTTTGCTAATTTTTCCAGCCTGTTTCTTGACTTTTAGCTTTATATTAAAAGTGGTCTATCCTCCCAGGGTAGAAGGAACACTGTCTCAAGGTTAAGGTTTTTTGTGCAGCTGTTTTCAGAGCTGGCCCTTGGGGTTTGTAAGTTTTCTGTTCTTCCAAAGTGGTGTGATCTAAGGAGAAGTGTGTTTACTACTCTCCTGGTCTGTGCTTTGGTCTGTGAACAACTTCAAGCACCCTTTTCTGTTCTGGAATTATGACCAAGGTCCCTGCTCCCTTGTGGCTGCAAAGTCTTGTGTGCTGGTACCCCTCTTCATCCTGGGACTATGACACAGGACTTCAACCCGGATCTGAGTATGGATAATGCAACAGAGTTATGTACTCAGTGCCAGCATAGGGACCCCTAAAATATTTTAACCTGTTGTCCGACCCTTTACTGTCTGTGGGCTAAGAGCTCAAGAAGTAACTGCTACTGATTCAGTTGCTCTCAATTCTTCCTAATGGTATCCTGTGGCTTGGCCTGTAGTGACACAGCCTGCGCTGTACTGTGCTCCACTCTCACTGCAGTCCGATAGATCTTTTCTGCCAACCTTCTAAGTGGTCTTGAGCTGAAAAATTGTTTTACTTCATCATTTTGCGGGTGCTGCCACTCCAGAATTTGTTTTGAGGCATTATATAAAGTTGTTTAGAGCAGAATTTGGGAGAGCTTAAGCAAGTCCCTGACTTTTCTCCCCTATCTTGGCTCCACCCACTACTGGCATTACAGGGCCACAATTTGATACTGTTGATTAAACACCCAAAGTAAACACCACCACCAAGATAGGATCCCTATTTTAAAAGCTCGCTGTCTAAATTGGACCCAAATGGACGTGTTTATGGGATAGAAGACAAGGAGAAGTAAAATGAAAAAGGCATCTTTTCAACCAGTTCCTTTGCTACTTTTTTTCAATTGTGGAGTTAGGGTTCTTAAAAGAAGTAATTGAGCAAACTTTAGTAAAGTGCCTCTTGAAAGCAGTCTATGCCAAATCAGTCACTCCTTGTGCTGCTATAAGTCAGACAGCTCTAGAAAAACAAATAAATCTTTACTCTGTGGATCTTTAGGAAAATTAATCAATAATTTGCCATTTTTCCTGACACTAAAATTCTAGTAGATATGTATTTTCATTTAAATGAATAAGAATCCAGTGTGTAACATTCAGTAACAAATATCAAAGCTATCTTTGTTTAGCCTCTTTAGCCAGAAAGACTTACTGAAAAAAAGAAAGTTCAGTGTATGATTTCTGATCTTTAGAAAGCAAAAAATGTGTAATCTTTTGTTGTCTCAAAGGAACAATGTAGACGACATACATAGTGATAAGCATTGTGTATATGAATGAAATAACCCAGAACAGGAGGGAGCTCGGTTAGGAGGGTCTAGAATTGAAATTGGAAAATTATACGTTGCTTTCATCAGTTCCAAACTTATCCCTGACCCAAAAACTCATCATATAATATTAAATTTCTTCAGATGAGGCGTTATATTGTAGTGGATAGAGGGCTGTCATACAGTGGAGAACACACACACACACACACACACACACACACACACACACACACACACAAAAGGCCTCTCTCTGATATACTGTGTCAAACTGTAGGCGTGTCATTTAATATCACGATGTTCCAAGTAACTCCTGTTAAGGATCTACTGCTATGCATGTGCCAGGCACTATGCTAAATGCTGGGGCTACAAAGACAAAAATGCAAAGAACCTGTCTTCTCAAGTAGCTGACATTCTTTTGGGGAGAAACAACATGTATACATATAATAAATAATTATAAAATTTTTACAAAGTAAATATAAATAATTTTAGAGTATTATTGAGGAGCACCAGGTTAAAAGATCAAGGAAGGCCTCTGGAAGGAAATAGCACATCAGCGGAACATGGAAGGAAGCTGAGGATTCCAAGAGGCAGATTGGGAGGGGAAGAATACTGTGAGCATGGAGGATAGTGTGGGCAAAGGCATGGAGGGAGAAGGTGGGAATCTAGATGAAAAGCAAGTAAGTGGGGCAGGTTAGCTGGAACAAAAAGATGGGTGATGGGAAGTAATGTGGAATAAGTCTAGAAAGATAGGTTGGAACCAGACAGTGAAGAGTTTTAAATGCCAAACATTATTTATATTCATATTCTAGCAGCAGTAGGGAGCTTCTGAAGCTTTATGAGCAAAGAGGGTAGATGGTCTGACCTGTGTTTTGGAAGTATCAATTGCAGGGGAGAAGTAACAAGGGCCTGGTGGTCATATGAGTGGAAAGAAGAGGCCACAAGGGGTGTTATGGAGGTGAGAATGAACAAAGCTTAGTAATTTACTGGAGAAGAAAGGAAGATTGTAAAGTAGAAGATGACTCCTATGCTATGAATCTCGATGACTAGAAAGATGGTCAGTGCTCTCAAGTGAAACAGAAGAGTTTAGGAAGAGAGATAGGGTTAGAGGAAAACAGAATGAGGAATATAAAATGTCTGTGAACTGAAGAGGGAGGTTCTTTTAGCTTTCTTTGGTAATCCTCATGCTCTGTGTGTGTGTGTGTGTGTGTGTGTGTTGAACTCAGCTGTATTATAAAAATAAACAGGTTTAACATCTCAGGCAGTTTTTGTATATGCTGACTGAATGAACCCATGTCCTAAATTCCTTGGTCTACAGTATTATCAGTGGTGGTTATAGCCATGAAACTGCTGGTAAACCTCACCAGTCACTCTTACCTCATTTCTTTAACTTGCCAACATAAAGAAATATATGTGTTCCATGTGCCAATATAAAGAAAGATATATATTTTTAAAGGCAGTTATGTCTAATAGTTTATGAGCTACTTTATATAAAAGAAACATGAGAACTGAATTAATTTTACTTTTTCACTTTAATTTTATTAGAATCCATTTTGAAGAGTTAACAAATCTTAAACTAGTGGTCTGTTTTTCCTTTGGATTTGAATTATTATTTTGTAGTTATACTGATATTATTTAAATATAGGTGCATTTATAACATCTAAGGTCTGTTAATAATTGTTTTACTTGTAATGGAACTTTTATAAAGCTTTAAAAAGATTAAAAAAGCCTCATTTGGCTTTCTCCTACCTTTCATAGCTG